CCCCACCCCCCTACACCCCACCCACACACTGACAACGTTCCATTTGTTTAATTGCTAAGATGGCAAGACCCATAACCAATTAACCATAAGCATGCTAGCCATGATTTCCATTTATGTGGGGGTTTATTTTGTAAATCTCATTTCCTGAGGAACTTGAAGTTGAAAAACAATTAAAGTTTAGGGTGTTTATTTGTGGATATTAGTTATTGAAGGACTGGAATTGAAACATTAAGAAATTTTACAATCTTAGCCTTTTAAGGGCTTGATTTGCAAATTTCATTTCTTGGAGGACTTTAAGTTGAAAGATGGTAAAAATCAAGGGCTTGTTTGCAAAAAGAAGCTTATGAATGATGAACCTACCATGTTCATAACTAAACAACAACTACCAAGCAATCAACAATTATTCACCTAAAAGAGGGAAATTATATTTTGTTGTTGTATTTTTGGTGAAATTATCGCATTTCGTCCATACAGTTTGTTTGCTTACATCTTTAGGTCATATAATCGTGTTAGTTTTCGCATAGTTTCGATCTTTATCACCGACACTGTCCACTTCTGGTTTGTTATGTAAAATCATGTCCCTCGTATGAGGGCATTTTAGTCATTTTTTCTTTTCCCTCTCTTTATCGCATCCATCCTTTCTTTCGAACCTTGTCTGACTCTCCTCCTTCATCCACCATATTCCTAATCTCCCCTGGTGGCAAGATTAAGACCCAAAACGCAGGCGACTTAAACTTAGCAAAACTGAACAACAATACAAGAGAATAAGAAGTATTGATCATAAGCGACGTTCTTCATGACGACGTTGTGCCTTCCATGTTGATTTTGAGGAGTGAATCCGTACGAGTTTAAGCGAAGAATTTGATAACTCGGTTTTTGAACGATTCCACCGATTCCAAGAACTCAAATCATAAGACCGTTTTTGGTGCTTATACACCTATTAAATTAGGGTTCTTCATGCAAAAATAGAGGAAGAACCGTAACTGACATTGCTAGGGTTTCAACTATCAATTCAAGCAAACACATTAACGGCTAAATGTCTAATGTTGACTTGCTGCTCCTTTATATAATTAACTCACCATAACATTAAAACCGAATGTAATGTTTCTTAATAACTGTAATTTGAAATTACTCATTACATAATATTAAAATATCAGGTGTTTAATTGAATGTAAAGACATAAAAAATAGAAAAAAACCACAAAATAAAATAAGGGACTTTTTTGCAAAATCATACGATGCCATTCAACGAAAACTTTTGTGGGCTAAAATTTGATACATTTTAAAACTTTGAGGGGTAAATCTGATACATTTGAAAACTTTGTGGGCTAAAATTGCTAAATTTTAAAACTTTAAGGGCTAAAATGCATTATAATAAATTTCCAAAGAAGTTCTAAAAAGGTACACAAACCCTCGCCTCTTCTTCTTCGTCTCATCATCGAGGGTGCTTACAGTGATCCCATACACCTCAAGCCTACGCTACTATCCTGCAACTGCACAATCACATCCGCACAAATCCATCTACAACCATGATCCAAATTCTCTTCACTCTCATATTCGCCGAGATGGCATTGATCGTGATCTTCGTGTTCAAAACCCCTCTAAGGAAGCTTGTGATCATGGGTTTGGATCGGGTCAAACGTGGTCAAGCGCCTCTCGTTGTGAAGGCCGTCGGATCAACTATATTTGTCGTGATGATGTCTAGTGTGTACAGTGTTATCCGGATCCATAACCGCGGGAACAGAGACGACGGCGATGGCGAACTTACTCCGACGGATCAGATTCTTGCCGCCAGACACCTTCTTGAAGCTTCTCTCATGGGTACGAACTCGATTTTGTTACTTTGTGTGCTTTTGCATAATTACTGTTGTGTTCATATGAATTAGGCTGTGCAATTGACCAATTGGCATCAGGATTTAGGTTTTGATGGACTCAACTGTGTTAATTTGGCAATATTCACACATAACGTCCACTGATTTTGGGAATTTGGGGAAACGAAGTGAAAATGAAATTAGTATTGGATAGAAGAATATAGGGTTTTACTAATTGGAGATCTTTAACTGGGTTAACATTCAAAATTAGATTGGGATTTTGTTGTTTTCTTCAGAATCTGAAATCACCAGAGGGGCAAAAAGGTCCTTTTGATGAATGTAGATACAAGAAACTACTTAGGTCTTCATAGAAACAGTCGCCCCCCGTTGACATGGCTGTGTATATCAAACCCCAAACCCTGCTTTCGAGTGAGATATGAAGTGTCGGTTTGGTTTTAGCTTTTAGATACAAGAAAAATGCGAACTTTACTCGACCATTGTGTCAGAAATGTCAAATGTGCCCTTGTTGTTAATCGGCCTTTCGTGCATAGAGTCCAGATAGCTCGTTTTTTAGCTAATAGTGGTCGGGAACCATGCTTAAACAGGAGGGGGGGCCCTTTAGGAGAATAGGGGCGGACCTAAGAAACTTGCAACAAAGAAACAACTGCTCTACTTTGTGTGGGTAGAAGACAAGTCTCCATACATTCACCCTGCAGATACCATCTCCGATTTAGATTTTTACTGGGTTCGTTTTGTTTGGTTTGGTGTAAATATGAAGCTTTTGTAATCCGACTTAAGAATGGCCATCCTTGACACGAGTTCAACATCCGAGCTCATATGCTCATTGCTACAAAATCGAGTATATAGGACGCCAAATATGTCTAAAGGGCTGTTTAGTTAGTTTTCTATCAAGTCTTGTATCACCGTATGTATAAAGCCGTCTTTGTGGATTAAACAGTCCGGATGATTGGGAAGGTTTTTGTTTGGGTGGGTTTTTCATAGATGGAAGGAGCATCTTTTTTAATTGGCAGGGGCAAGCTTGGAAAAAACCTGACTTTTTGTATAAAGCTCCCCCTAGAAGCTTACTGAATAAGCCACTACCAAATAGTCATGTATAGCTGACCTAAATAAGTTGTGTGTTCCATTAAGCTGCTAACAGAAAAGACCCAAAGTGTTCTAATAGACGGCTTTACAGGACTTGAGTTTACAAGACCAAACAGTTGTGCGTTCTATATAAAAGTGTTACAATAAGTTGATATGACGCTTGTGGATGTCTTGTCAAGCTTTTTAGGGCAGTTTTAAAATAAAGTGTCTATTAAAGATCATCCCCGTCTCTTGCAGGGTTCTCCTTGTTTCTTGCACTAATGATCGACCGACTACACCATTACATCAGAGAACTCCGTATACGAAGAAAAAACATGGATGCTATCAAGAAACAAAACCGGATAATCGAAAACGGCAAAAACGGAAGCCAAGATGAAGTTAAAGCGTTAGAGGGCGAACTAACGACTCTAAAGGAAAAACTTAGCCGTCTCGAGTCAGAACTCGACGAAAAGACAAAAGATGCAAGCAATGCGGAAGCTAATGCAATTGCATTAAAGAAACAATCCGAAGGGTTCCTTCTTGAATACGACCGTTTGCTTGAGGACAACCAAAATCTACGAGCCCAATTGCAATCGCTGGATCGAAGATTGTCGCATTCTGGTGGCAAAAAAGTTACGTAAGATTCGAACTACTACTTTTGCCTAATCTAATACTCTGTTTTCTATTCGGTTTTTCGAGTTATTTTTTGGTTTTACATGTGATAAAAATGGTATGATATGTTGGTAGAAAGCTAGTTAGATGTTTAAGAGGAAAATTCCATTTGGTTTGTACAAGAATGATTTTGATATTTTCATACAGAAATGGGAAGTTGCTTTGATCTCTTCTTGGTGATGGTTGTTTTGTTGTATAAAGATTGGTTTATCGAGTGTTTAGGCAATTTCTGTGTACATCATCCTCTGCTTTGTATGGGATTTACTGGGTTTGTTTGGTTTGGTTGCTTATCGTACATTTACAGGCCGTGTGTTCAAATCCCGTTAAGAGATTATACGAAGGCTGAGTGTGAATCATTCAGTTGGATGACAACTTTGTTTTTAAATCCGTTATCTTAAGGCTGTTTATTACCTGTTTACCGCCTCTTGCAGCGTTATCCTGTCAGTGATGATGCTGTTATTTACCAAGTTCCTCTTACTGGTTCATGATGCTAACATGGTAAGCTAAGAGATGCTCGTTACTAGGAGTGCTCATGGGTTGGGTTGATCGGGTTGATGACATTTGAACAACCCAACCCAATGCTTGCGGTCGGGTTGATATTTTGGTATATTAAAATATTCTTCTAACCTTGAATATTTTTATTTCTCTATTCGTAATTTCTTTTTCATCATCAATCATTTGATACAACTTATTCGTATTTCTTACGTATATCACATTCAGTTAATTTTCTCAATTTACATATATACGTTCACAGTTACTGAATGAGTTATGTAGAGATATGAATAGATTGAAAATATGTGTATATGAAAAACATACATGATAGTGTAATTGCCTAATATATATATTAATATTAATAGAAATTCAACAATCATATTAAGTTACAAGAAATAAAAGGATATCGGGTTCATTGGGTTGAGTTGGGTTCAAATAATAGTAACCCAATACCTACGGTTTGACAATTTTACAACTCGATTATACATCAGGTTGCTTCGGGTTTCGTTATTTCGCGTTAGGTTGGGTTGATCAAGTTAGTCGGGATGATCGGGTTTTAAAGCACTCCTACTCGTTACCATACTTTTTTAGAAAGCTTATTGGCCACATGAGATTGTGAAAGAAGAGCCACCAACAAAGAAAACCTCTTTTGTTTGTGTAGTTACAAGCCAAGTGTTTTATGTGGGTCCCACTTTCTTTTCTGGGAAACGCTAAACGAAAGCTCCACCATCGTGGATGTTTTAAAGGAGTTCACTACAACAAAATTGAGTTTATACGACGTTTAAAAGATCTAGAATTTATAATATAATGTTTTATAGGATTTGATTTATGGAATAAACAATAAAACGTCATATATCTAAAAGTGTTACAATAGGGTTTAGGACACTTTTGAGCGTTTTAACAACTTTTTCAGAACATTTTGAAAATAAAGTGTTGTATTAGTTATTTTATAGGACAATATTTGATAAAGTGTCTTATAAACACAAATTGTCTGTTAAAAAAGTGTATTTTATAGGACATTTTTTAAAATTGTCTTGTAAAATAATTAATACGACATTTTATTTTAAAAATGTTCTTTAAAAGCTTGTTATAAGCCCAAAAACGTTAGCACTATATATTAAGACATTTAGGGGCCGTTTACCAAACGCTTACTCGGGTAAGTGAACACCAAGTCACATTATCTTATCAGATGAATATGGTAAGGACCAAGAATCTTACCTGGTAAGAGCGAGACAAAGACAAAGAGTCTTACCCAGTAAGTGAGGGCGACGACTCTTACCACGGTAAGCGTTTACCGGGTAAATTGTTACATATGATACCGTTTTGTTACAATGATAGTGTTAAATTTTGTCGGTAAGCGCTTACGGGGTAAGTGTTTAGTAAACAGCCCCTTAGACATTTTAAACGTTCTATAAACCCAATTTCGTTGTAATTAATGGAGGGACTCTTATTCCGTCTGTGATTAGTGTAAACCCAACACACGCGTCTTGGTTAGCATTTACGCAATTTATGTTGGTGAACGACCCTTTATTAAAGCTTACCCATTTTACGGCCGATGATGCCGAAGATAAATTTTGATTTTGCAAAAAGGTCGATAACCGAGAACTTGAACAAATCGGGAACTTAATGAAAGCTAACGATGATCAGCTAATATACGCAAAGATACATCCAAAACGACTAAAAACCGATTAGAAAACATGCAAAAAAGCTATCACACATTTGGGGACGTCCTCAATTTTCGTCAGAGAAACTTAGAACCGGGTTTCGAAGAAGTGAGTCGATCTTTAACGTCGAGCAGACCAACAGAAAGACAAAAACGAGAACCGAAATCGTCGATAAAATAAGCGCCAATCCGTTCGCTGTCACCCCCTTCACCTGTTGAGCATATGCTGTGGAGGCCAATGCCAGAAAGGATAGGGGAAAGGAGAAAGCCCACCATGCCACACTGAAGCTTTTTAAAGATTTCTTGAAAAGCACTGGCCTACTAGCCTGCACAAAGTTAGAAATTTTGAGATAATTCTGGAGTTAATGTCTGTATAGAACTGTACTGTAACAAAAATCGATTTTATAGGACGTTAAATATGTCTAAATATCATAGGATATTGTTTTATTAGGATCGAAGTACATATACAATGCCTAGAGATGCGAAAAGGGGTTAGGCCCGAAGCCTGGACCAAAAACCCGGGTCTTGTAAGCCTGAGCCCATGCCTCACCATGAAGCCAATTAAGGCCAAACTTTTTTTCATGGCCCGGTTAAAAGCCCTTATTGAAATAGCCCGATCATACCCTCTTTCAACTCTAAAGTCGAGCCCGGCATGGGCTCTTTGTTTGCCTTGGAATGAATTGGTTTTTTCAACCGCTGAATAGTGTGGCGGTTAGGCATCCTTAGACGAAAGAGTGGTCTTTTAGGATTGCGCTCTCTTGTAGTGTGAATGCGCGCTTCTTTCCTTGCAGGATCCATTGTTCCTACAAAAGCCGAGGCTTTTTTTTTGCTTATTGAAAAATGGGTTTCAAAGGCCTGAACCCAATCGGGTCTTTTCTATCATTAAAAAATGTGTATTTTGGACACTTGTCATTTAGAAAATGCCATACATAAAACATATGTTTATTGGACATTTCTATCATTTAAAAAAGCTAATAAGACATTTTATTTGAAAAAAAGTGTCCTAAAAACCTGCTAGATGCTCAAATACGTCTTAACATCCCATTGTAACACTATATAAGATGCATAATTGTTTGACCATGTAAACTTAAGTCCTATAAAACTGCAGTCTATTAAGGGTTGTTTGGTTGGTTTTCAATTAAGTTTTGTATGGATAAAACTATGTGAATTAATCTGTCTTTGGGAAAATTATTGTTTGAGGGAGAGTTTTTATAGATGGAAGAAGCATGTTTTTTAATTGGGTGGAGGAAGTTTGGGAAAAAACTTGACTTTCATGTAAAACTTTTCTCTAGAAGCTTACTAAATAAGTCACTTTCTATATTATTAAGCCACTACCAAATATATAACTGACCGAATAAGCTATAAGTCATATTAAGTTCATTAACCTGCTAACAAACGAGCCCTTAGACACATATAGTTTACGTTCTATAAAACCGATTTTGTTATAGCATTGTAATCTTAAAAAGCTAATTAACCTACCAATGATGTGAAGAGAAATAAGGATAGAAAGAAGAGCATTTTGCAAAGCATATCGAAGTTTCCATTAATGGATTTCCAAGCTAACGCCGCCATGCTCGGGGTGGCGACGAACAGGAAGAAAACGGGTCGGAGCCTGGACGGAAGGTGATTGTTGCCCGATAAACGTTGGTAAAGGGTGATGAAAACCACCAAATAATGTGTCATTCCCAATGTAAATAAGCAAATCCCACTTTCTTTCCACCCCATTTTAATGGCGGCGTGAGCTCCGACCAAGTTTCCGATCACCGACATCTGGCTTGTAGGGTTAGCCACCATCGACAGAAACCTTTTCTCCGTCGTGAACCACTGACCGTATATCTTGAGATCGAGAGCAATCACAGGGACGATAAGCGGCCACCAAACGTATTCGTAAGAATATTTATGCGGAAAAATGAACGACGGAGCCGATCGGAGTAACAGAAGCCATGAAATCCAAGGTGCGAAAAGATAATTTACTCCAACATGATGATGGAATTCGGATTTCACCATTTTGAAATGGAAAATGCAGCGAAGAATGTAGAGGATGGAGAGGGATACGAAGATGCAAACGGCGAGGGACCAGATGAGGAAGAAGGCGGTCGAAGGTATCTTCGTGAAAAGATTTCCGAAAGTGGGTGAGATGTCGGTTTTTTCGCTTAGGGTTTTCCATAACAAAGCTTGACCTCCAAGGGACATGCAGATCCGGAAGTAGCCAGCATTGATTGTGGCAATAACGCCTTGCTGGGATCGTTTTGAGGGGGTTTTGATGGCAGATTGTTTGCGGCCTATGGTGGTCGTGGGTTGCTTGTGGTGTTTGGTGATCGATGAGTCGATAACTACCTCTAATCCGATTTCGGGATGCACCATTGTTGGATCTCAAGAAAGGTTGTAAGGTTGGTGTAGATAGAAAGTGTAAGAAGTGTTTGAAGGTTTATGGATTTGTGGTGTTTAGTTTAGGGTTTAGGGTTTATATAAGAGAATCGGGAGTTGGTGATATAATGAGACAAAATGGACGTAGGAAAATTGGGTTGGTTATGTAATCACCCACTTAATACTAACAAAAGCAATATCACTTTCATCCACTTTCTTAATTTGATAGTTGCTTAATATATAAGAAAGTGACTTATTCAATAAGCTATCAGAGAGAGAGTTTTATGCATAAAACAAAATTTTCTTTTACAAGTCTCTCATTCTCGATTAAAAAAACATGTTCATTCCATCTATGAAAAACCTCACAAGCAAAACCTTCATAATCTATACAGACAATAGCTTATTAAAACGCTTAGACATTTTGGACATCTTATACATCCGATTTGTCGTATAAGGTCTAGCTAGGCAATTATAGTGAAATATATTTGGTTATTTACTAAAATCACCCGCCGGGGGGGGGGGGGAGGATGGATTATTATTGACCAATCAGAATTGCCTGCCAAGATCTATAATTGTCTCAAAAGGTCCTATATATATATATATAGAGAGAGAGAGAGAGAGAGAGAGAGAGAGAGAGAGATTTGGGATCACGTGAGACCGATGGTTTTTCATGAGACCCGTAAGACCAATTCTCAACCCTTGGATTAGATCTACAATTTGACAATCCGAACATTCATAAACGCCACGAGACTTCTCAGTAATCACAAAATTGCCACTGTACAACTTTAGACCATTAGATCATTAGCTTATAAAGTTGATCAATATATATCAAATTGAATATCATATATTATTTGAGATAAATATACATTTTAAAATAAGATGATTTGTGTGTTCTAAGAAATTACTAATAATACTTATTTTGATTTAGGCAAATACATGATTTTTTTTTGATTAACCTAGATATCCAACCTGTTATGTAAGCCGACTAATCCCAAAAGGATCACTCGTTTTACGGGTAGCTTAGAGTCACTGCATTTGAACCTCTATGACTACAAAAAGATTTCTATTCCTTCTTGTATTCGAACCTGAGACCTCTATATATATATATATATATATAAAATATAAAATTGATATTAAGTTGTAATATTAATTGTATGATAGAGATAGGGTAATTTATTGATATACAAAAAGGTAGCTATGTATGTTTGTGTATGTTGTGGAATCCTCACAAGTGTAGATGTTTCATGGATAATGGAACAATTAGGTTGGATAAGAAAAATATAAAATAAAATAATAAAATAAAAATAAAAATAAAAAACAAAATAAATTAGGTAAAGGAAGATCTACATAAAATATAAGCCTTTATATTAGTGCAATTTATAAGAGGAATTAGAAAAAGCTACACCTTGGTCAACATATGATATCAAGTGCATAGTGAGTGGTTTTTAATTTTTATTTATTAAATTTTTTTCTTTATAAAATATATAATTTGTATAAACTTATAAACGAGTTTTTTCATATACATTAAACAATTGATATGCAGTGTTTATACAGTGTTGTTTCGTATGTGAAATATTTAAGACTGTTTTTTTTTGTATGCATAAAACAGTTTTGATATATGAAGGAATTGAAATGCTCGGTTTTGTTCATGATCAGTATGGTTTATTGTTTGAGTTTTAGTATAGAATTCCAGTTCCTTTTTATCTCATAAAGATGTATTTTGGTCATTTATCATTATTTTATTACAAATTTCGAAATTATATTTAGCAAACCCATCAAACAGATTCCATCTCAATTCTTACCAACCAAATGCATTGTCAAATCAGACTGTTCCATTCCACTTTTTTAGATTCCAATTTTGTCGACAAATTCTAATTCCAACATATTACATTTTGTAAACCAAACGTCACCTTAAAGTTTCAGTGACAATTTGTAAAGATGTTTTGAGCCTCATAGTCGCTTACCAGAGTATTTGATGTAATCATGAATCGTTTTCCGTCAACAATGTACCAAAGAATGCAATACAACAAACGATATCATAAAATTGTTGAAACGAAGGAATTCAAGGTAAGAATTACAAAAGAAAGACGCACATTTCGAATCAAAAGTGCGCAACGGGTTCATATACGGAGATCAAGGAATTCAAGATAACGATTCGTCCTAAATCCTCGTTATATTATATGATTAGTAAGAGACTGTTTGTTTACCTCCTAATAGTTCTATTAAGAGACAACATTTAAATGCTAAGAGTTGAATTTCGTTTGACAAAAAAAAAAAAATCATGTCTTTTAATGATTCTAAAACCCTCTGAATGATTTTGTATCTTGAGTCTCCCTTAACCATTCAACGCCTAATTTCATTCTGAACAATTATCAAACAATTTATATTTCATTTTACATTACATAAAAGTCTCTTAATCATTCTGACCACTTAATCATTTCACACTAAAAGGTTGTTTGTTTACCTCTTAATAGTTCTATTAAGAGGCAACCTCTGAACCGTTAAAGGTGAATCTTGTTTGACAAAAAGAAAAGGCTGTTGCTTAATGGTTCTAAAACTTTCTGAATGATTTTGTATCCTGAATCTCCCTTAACCATTAAGAGCCCTAATTTTATTGTACACAATTACCAAACAATTATATTTCATTTTGCAACTATATCATGAGAGTCTCTTAATCATTCTGCCCACTTAATCATTCTGCACCAAATCATTCAACAATTGCCAAACAACCCCTAAACCATTCAACAACTGTCAAACAATTCCTATAAGCTTTTGAAGTGATTAATGCTAAAACGATATGGAATATATAAGAGGCCCTAACCCCGTGATGGAAGTGCTAGTTTCCATGGTCTTAACATTATCATTCTCTCTCTCTCTCTCTCTCTCTCTCTCTCTATATATATATATATATATATATACGCACACACATACATACACACACATACATATATATATATATACACATACATACACACACATACATATATATATATATATATATATATATATATTCTATTTATGTTGAACTTTTGCTACAACATATTGTTTCTGAAATATCTTATTTGATATCACATTACGTTTGTATTTGAGTGGTGGGGGAGGATTTACATGAAACGAGGTGTTAAATTAAGAACCAATAAAGTTACGATTAATTAGCAAAATTTATGCCCTAAATATGTTGATTATGACTGGATTATGCACTCCATCCTTCCCTTTTTGCTTTTTAATCTGCCCTCAATGCTTGCTTCCATTTAATTACATACAAAATGTACAATTTGGTACCTTTAAATGTGTAGTTGAAAAGCCTTGCTATCTTTCTCCTTTTCCTAACTTCGGATTTTGTCTTCGAACCCCACCTTTTCGCTTCTTCCCTTCATGCGCGTCAACCTCAAAGTCCAAATAACGTTATTGGTTCAAAACTTTATGGAAAACTCGAGTAACGTATGAAAAGATGTCAAGAAGTTGCATTGTTCATTTTTGGTGCTCGTATTTGTGAGAATCTGTGAAATACCGTTAGATTATTAGAATACTGTTAAAAAAAGCTGTTAAGAAGTGAAAAAAGGTTTCATGCAATATATATATTGAGGAGAAATGCATGGTCGATGTGGGACTTCAACATACCCACTCCGACAAAGGCTAGATAGGCACGGATTGTCTCAGAGTGTTAAGTCCCTTGAATGGTGGAGATTGGCTCTAATATATAGCGGTGTTAGAATATGTAAAACCTCATTAAATTACTTCACACTACAACAAAATTGAGTTTATAGGACACCCTCAATCTCAAAGTGTCCTAATAGACCTCTTTATAAGACTTAATTTATATGACCAAAATATAAAATGTCCTATCTAAAGGTGCTGTAATAAGTTTATATGACGTTTTATATATGACACTTTATTTTTTTGGTCCTATAAAGAGGTCTATTAGGACATTTAGAATTTGAGAGTGTCCTATAAACCCGATTTTGTTATAGTGTCAAAAGAGTCTCTAAGAAGAAAAGGTGGGTTCCAAACTTACATATACATATATGTTGATGACAGATTGTCCAAGTGTAACCGATATTAGACTCCAGCACATCCCCTCCAACGAAAGCCAAAGTGGCACAAAATGTCTCAAAGTGTTAAGTTCCTAAAATAGTAGACGTTGGTTATCATATGAGAACATATGGATGTGCACAAGATTACTTTCTAAAAGAGCAAATCTTTTCAATGTTTAGTGCTCTTAAGTTTCTTAGAGAGATTATATATAAACTATAATAATCATCAACGTCGCAAGTATTAGGTGATTAGGTAACGATATCGAAAGTAACTGAGGCTGTCAGGAGTTCCAGTGTCCACTCCAACCAGATACGAACCATGCAACAAACGTGTGTATATATAAGAATATTTAAAGGTGTTTACATATATCATTCTAACACGGTATCAGAACTAGGGTATAACACCATAAAGGGATTCGAAACACTCTTTCGCCTCAGTTTTTGTGGGCATCGTGTTACAATCTCACATCGCTAGACATAGACGTACCATCAAACCTGTATTTATGTAGCAACGTCCACTCTTTTGTAAAAGCTAATTCTTCTAGAAAAATGGATTTAAATAGGGCAAAAAGTGAAGTGGGCTTTCTTTCACCAAAACATAATTACTTGAATAGAATCTATCGATAAGATCCATGACAACACTTCATTGTCGACGTAATTTAAATCCTTTTTTAAATTAAGACTCTTTTTTCTAAATAAAACATTAATTAATCCTTTTTCATTCATGGATTCCATGCAATGTTTTGTACTTTTCAAATGACAATAAATACAGTAAAAAGCAAAATCAACAATAATTAATGAAATGCTAAAGAAACAAATTATATTTGATACTGTTATGGTCTATGAAATCCGTTTATTACACTTCTCGAGCCTATGGTATGTAAAAATACACAGTTTAGGTCCTTCCTGCTAATGGAATAAGAAAAGTTATGTTAACTTATTTAAATTAATCAAGGGTATTTTCGGTTTTTTAACCTTTTCTTTTCTCTTTTATCCATAGGGACCAAAAATGTATTTCTCTTTACGGGAACAAAATATGTTAGCCTGAGGGACTCAAAACGTGTGGTTTTACATACCACATGTATCTAGGAGTGAGGGATCTTGCAAGTGGCAACCTGGCCTGCCCCTCTTCTTCTTTACCGTTGGCCACGCTACATCACATCACAGATTGCCATTCATGCCGACTTTCTCCTTCCATCCCCTCCCCCTTCAACTATTACCTTCGCCTCCTTGTGCGACAAACCCCTCTCATCACCTACAACCATAACTTGAAAGCTTTGTTGTCTCCACCTATTGTCCCCCCATGTCCAACCATTTTCTCCAACTCTGACCACTGCAATATCTCCCCTCCGCCCTCGTTCTTTGTCATTTCCGGTTATTGCGTTGTCTATGATCATCTATCATATACAGTAAGTAAAGAGACACTTTAATTCAGACGGGTCTGTTGATGATGATGTTTTTGGTAGACTGATGCTTTCTCCCTCTAAAATGTTATGGATTTAGGGGTTTGTTGATTTAGATTTAGGGTTATTTTATTATTTCAGTTTATATTTAGATTTTTGGTTTGTCGAAAAACCCTTATGTAATTGGTGTTTGATTTTATGGGTTTTGTTGAACTTCGGTTGTTGCAATTGGTGTTTGATTTTACGGGATTTGTTGGATGGAATTCAGACCTTGATTTTGATAATTTATTCATGATTTTGATAATTTATTCATGATTCTTGATTTTTTTGTAGAATGAAACTTTTGGTTATTGTAATTGCTTGCGGTTGTCGGAGTCGAAGGCGGAGGGGAATTAGGAAGGGCGGCGACGATGGTCAACAGATGGTGGCAGTGGAGAGAGAGAGAGAGGAAAGAGGACATGTGGCAACATTTAATTGGGTGTTTAAAATGATTTTTATAAATATTGTACATAAAACATATCTCTAGCTTAACGGGGAAAAACAACCGATGTCATCAAATGTAAACGACAGGGACCATAGCCGAAGAAAATGACAACCACTAGGACCAAATCCATAACCATTCGAGTATAGCGATGCTAGTAGTAATTTTTGACATATCACCCACACCAAATCCATAATTCTCTCAAAAATTAATTCATTTAAAGACTCAAAATTATTTTCACCGTCACAAAAATGAGTTGATATATATATATATATATATATATATATATATTCTCAACATCAAATAGAAACTTATTAAATGTTACAAATCTTGAATACCAATTTCATAGATGAAACAATAGATGTGAAAACTAAACCCGTGAAAATCAACCAAAATCACCAAAAGATCCTTTGCCGATTAGTATATTCATCAGTGTATATGTAATATATAGGGAAGTATATATGCATTGTTACATTATACTCCTGACATTCATATAATGTATATGCATCAATGCATAGATTAGCTCTCATAATATTTATAGTTTTTATTTCAACTTCTCTCTAGTTATATGTGTAGAAGTGAATTATTATGCAACTATTTACATTTGTACAACCAATACAACTCAATATCAACCGTCCATTTAATTTGATGAATATATGATTTCATAAAAGTTTTGATTGTTTACTAATATAAAGTATTGATCATAATTAATGAACTCTCATCATTTCCATAAATATCTCAATTAATTGGGTTGTATTGGTTGTACAAATGGATATGGTTGCATTTGAAATATACCATATATATATATATATATATGTATATGAAAATTCTGGCTTATGAAAGAAATCAAACAATAACATAGCACACATGTTGGGTTGACCGGCACATCCTTTGTAACCTCTACCAACAACCCTTCTCACTGAATCTTATTCTTGAAAATGACCTAACTTTTCTTCCATGACTAATTATCATTTAATTGGGACACACAACACGATATTTTTATAAATCCACTTCTTATTCTTGTCACGATCAAGGCTATAACATCTAAGGGATAATGACTATATGCCATAACAAGTGTTGTAGACCTTTGTTTTGATACATATATAAAGATAAAAATTGTACGAAAATGCAACATATTTTGATTCTAATTCTTATTTTGCATAACACATTCTTAAAACCACGTTTTAGTACATCAGATGTGATTTTGGATTGGCAAAAAGAGAGTCGATCTTCAAAGTGGAGAAGACCAGCAAGAAGATAAAAACAAGAACAGAAATTGCTGACAAAAGTATTGCCAATCCGCTTGCGACGACACACTTCACTTGATGAGCGTATGCTGTTGCGGCTAGAGCAAGGAAGGTGAGCGGGAAAGAGAAAGCCCACCATGCCACGCTAAACTCTTTCATTGATTTCTTAAAAAGCATCGGCCTACTAGCCTGTTTCACACAATACCAATTAGTTTTATAGGACGCTAAATATGTCAAAGTATCTAAATATAATGTTTTATAGGATTTAAGTTGATGGGATTAAACAACTGTGCTCCATGTTTTATATTATAATAAGTTGATACGATATTTAGAACAATCTTGAAATATTAGTCCATCTGTATAAGTAAAAACAAGTGGTCTAAACTATAAAGGTGATGTCTGGTTGGTTTGAGCTTGGCTCCAAAGGTCAAAAGCACTAGGAGGTCACATGTTCAAATCCAAGGAAGAATAAAAATCCCTTTGTGGCCACGGAGGTTCAAATCCGGTGACTCCGGGCTATCTGCAAAGCCAACGGTCGCCATGAGATTAGTCGGCTCACATAACATGTTGGATATCCAGAGTAATTAAAAAAAAAACAAGTGGTCTATAAAAAGACGTGTTTATTGGACATTTCCCATAAGTATCATATAAATTTTTTTGATAAGACATTACTTTTACAACAAAAAATTCTTAATTTTTTTGTTAGAAAACGCATTTGCATCCTATCATTTATTATAACGCTTTTACAGAAGACACAATTATTTGTAGTCCAATAAATTTAAGTCCTATAAATAAGTGTATTAAGAGGCTTTTTGACAATTACTGAATGGTTTGGTGCAGAATGATTAAGTGGTCAGAATGATTAATAGGCTCTCATGATATAGTGCAAAATGAAATATAATTGTTTGGTAATTGTGTACAATAAAATTTGGGCTCTTTAACGGTTAAGGGAGATCCATAATACAAAATCATTCAGAGGGCTTTAGAACCATTAAGAGGCAGTTTTTTTTTTGCCAAACAATATTCACCTATTAACGATTCACATGTTGCCTCTTAATGGAACTATTAAGAGGTAAACAAACAACCCCTAAGATATTTAGACATCTTTGACATATCATAAAGCCGATTTTGTTGTAGTAAACCTAAAATGTGTTAGTTTGATGTATAGATTGTATGATGGAGAAGTGAACCAACTTACCAAAGATGCAAAAAGAAACAAGGATAGAAAAAACAGCATTTTGCATTGGACATCAAAGCTTCCATTAATGGATTTCCAAGCTAAGGCCGCCATGCTCGGGGTGGCTACAAAGAGGAAGAAAACTGGTCTGAGCCTGGAAGGGAGGTGATTACTGCCAGATAACCTCTGATAAAGGGTGATGAAAACCACCATGTAATGAGTCAGTCCCAATGTAAATAAGCATGTACCACTTTCTCTCCACCCCATTTTAATGGCAGCATGGGCTCCAACAAAATTCCCTATCACTGAAAGTTGGCTCGTAGGGTTAGCCACCATCGACAGAAACCTCTTTTCGGTCGTGAACCACTGTCCGTATACCTTAACATCAAGACCTACGACGGGGATGATCAGTAGCCACCATACATATTCGTAAGAGTATTTATTTCGAAAAATGAACGATGGGGCAGATTGAAGTAATAGGAGCCATGAAATCCATGGTGCAAACAGGTAATTTACTCCTACATGGTGATGGAATTCAGCTTTCACCATGTTGAAGTAGAAAATGCACCTCATAGCGTAAAGGATCGATAGAGACACCAACACGCAGAGCGCGACACACCAAAGGAGGACAAAAGCGGTCGATGGTAACATGGTGAACAGATTATGAAAGTTAGGTGGGATGTCTGTTTTTTCACTTAGGGTTTTCCACAGCAAGGCTTGACCACCAAGAGATATGCAAACCCTAAAGTAGCTTGCATTGATGTTAACCATGATCGATGGCTTCGAGGGTTTTTCTTGATTCTTACTACTCGATAGCTTAACGGGTTCTTCTTGGTGTTCGATGGTTGGAGGGGCGATGATGACCACATCCAGTTTCGATTCGGGTTGTACCATTGTTGGAGTTGTGAAAAGCTTATAGGTTTTCTATAGGTCGATACAAGTTATTGGTGCATTTTGTTTTACAATTATGAGGTGCTTTTTATAGTATAATGGATTGAATTTAAGCTGGTCATACAGTGACACTAATTAAGGAAACTGATAATCCGTAAAATTTAAATCTAAAATGATGTGGATAGCCTAGAGTCATCGTATTTGAACCTCCGTGGCCACAAGGGGATTTTTATTCCTCCGTGGATTTGATCCTGGGACCTCCTGCTACTTTTGACCTTTGAAGTCAAGCTCAAACCAATCAAACACGACTTTATGTTGATGTGTTTTGTTGTAGTGTGAGACAGAAATGGACGCAAGAAAATGGGACAAGTTGCCATGTAACCGCACTTCGATATTGCCCAAAAGCAAAATCACTTTGCTCCACTCAATCTCTCTCCTCAATCTCTCAACAAGTATAATTTATTGGTAAAAAGGGGAGTTGTGTGTGTTTGTGCATGCATGCTCAGGAATCCTCTTTGTTATGTTATGGATAACACACTATTATTTAAGTAGGTTTTATTGCGGCAAAAGGAAAAGAAGAATAACGAGATTAACCTCAATAAAGAATTAACCAGCGTTCTTAGGGCCAAAGAATCGGTAGAAGGGGGGGGGGGGGGAATTAGAGATGTCTCCCACGTTGGGGGACATGTCAAGTATCGGCTTGAGAGCCATATTATTAAAAGCTTGTGGTAAGAATGGGTTGTCCCAACTGTTTCAGAGAGACAATCGGGAAAGGGTACAAATTAGATCAAATAGGAAAGAAAAGTATGTCATTCTGAAATTTGAGAATTACAGAAAGAAAGAATCCTCCAAAACCCTATGTATATAGAGAGTGTCTGGTGTATAACGGTCACATTTGATTTTACACTAAAAATCAAGTGTAAGATTGCATGTGATTCACGCGACTTTGGTCGCGACCTGAGATTGCGGGCACATCGTTAATTTGCCCACCTTTACGTTATTCATTAGTGTAAATTTACATGTGATTCTACACGTGAATTGACCGTTTTCGTGTTCTTTTTATTTAGTGAATGTTCTCGTTTGAACCTCGCTCTCTATGTATGTATGTATGTATGTATGTATGTATGTATGTATGAGCAAACCTACTTATTGTTTAGCTTGTTATGAATACTAAACGATATTTATCTTAATCAAGTGAGTGTTACTATTCGAGTTTGGTAACTTGAATGGAGAAGATTAATTAAATGAATAGAAGATGATGACACAATCAATTGAATTAGTTAATTAGGTCAACCCATATTTAATATGAAGATATCTACACATACAATCAATCCTTTTATATATATATATATATATTGGTTATAATATTTTGTTAGGATCCAAACGTTTACCACTATGTCAAAAGCAATTACTGGTGTAGAAGGCGCAACTTATTTCCTTATGGTGTAGCAAATAACGCCACGTTTCGATTTAGGAAGATGCTGGTCAATAACCCAACATATTTTCTTAAAGTACACAATAGATCTCACTAGAAGAAAAACATCTAATAAGAAAAACAACTTATTTTCTTGTCGCGTAGCAGCCAACGTCACGTTTCGATTCAGGTATATTGATCATATTAAAGTCAAACCTATCCAAAGAAAAACATCTAATAAGAAGTTAAAATCTTGATGATTTACTCTATTTGAAGATGTAAATGAGAACAACGTTATGTATTAGTTATATAAATTCAATTCACATGTGAATCTTTTAAAAAGCTTTTTCAAATGATTTATATATGAGTCTCATCTTAACCTTTCTTTCTTACGTTTTCATGATTGTTTAAACCTCTCTCTCCCTTTTAAATTAGGTTATTAACCATACAAGTGATGTGTGTTAGATGATCCTACTCTATGTAAGATCATAATAGGCATCTTTTAAATGTAGTACTTGTTTTTCTTAAGTATATAATATTTATATACGACAAATGCAACAAACAAACTCACACACCCTTTTCACATTTGGTGAAGTTTGAACCCCTGATCTCCTAGGAGGCCAAAGATTATGATACCACTAGGCCAAAGACCATTTGGTGAACGTAGTTAGTATGAACCCATAAAGATTTATTGGAGTGGTAGGAAGCATTCGATAACTTGAAAATGATGTCAAATTGAAACCAGAAAAGAAGAAAAAACCTGCACAACACTCTGCCCCACAATCCAATTTGTAGTGCACACATTCTTAGGGTTGATGATGAGTGGATTTTGCATTTCATATCAAGACCTCCTTTCGTTAATTCCTCTTTTCATCAATATATATATATTTAAAGAAAGATGCTGATTCCGGTTTAATAAACGAATCGTTATACCGATAAATACGACAATATGTGTAATAAGTCTACGAAAAGATGGTTAGGTTTAATTTATGTCGGTAAAGAAGGTGAATGTTTTGATTTGATGTGGTTTTAAGATTACCGTTACGCAAAGGGATTCAATACGATTTGGCAAGCTTTCATGCGTAACTAGTATTAAACCGTTGGAAATGGTTATTTTGCGATTATGGACCTCTTTTGGTTTTCAAAGAGGACGAATTAGCATACCAACTCGCTTTCATCCTTACACTGACCCGTCAATTTAGGATCCAATTTCCTCTTCAGGCAGCATATCCATAGTTAGCAGATTGATGCTAATTAGCAGTTCTTTTATCACATTGGGAGATTTTACATCGTTGAATAAACAAAAATTACTTTAAAAGTATAAAATATCATATAAAAATGAACCGTTTTTTAAACTCTCAATCTTGCAACAATCTAACAACTAATCATCACCCATGAGTAATTGCAAGAACTAATAGACATAGTGTTTTAGTGGTTTACCAAATGATTATCGTCAAGAGTCAACACCATTCTTTATCGTATCAGGTAAAATTTTCGGTCATCAAAATGGATTGTTGGTAAGCGTCTTTTACTCTGTAAACACTTACTGGGTAAGAGTCTTCTCTCCTTCACTTACCGGGGGTAAGATTTTCGGTTTTTTCAATGTCTTTTACCAAGAAAGATTTTTGGTCATTGTCATGCTCATTTGTAAGGTAAGTGACATACAGTAGATAGTTATCTGGTAAACATCTAAGCATCAGGTAAACGACCCATAAGTTAATAAAACAAGATTTCCATATTCCAATACTATTCACATAGTTAGGGGTTGTTTGTTTACCTCTTAATAGTTCCATTAAGAGACAACATCTGAATCGTTTAAGAGGTGAATCTTGTTTGACAAAAAAAGTCTGCCTCTTAATGTTTCTAAATTAAATCATTTGAATGATTTTGTATCCTAGATTTCCCTTAACCATTAAGAGCCCTAATTTTATTGAACATAATTACCAAACAATTATATTTCATTTTACACTATATATTGAGAGCCTCTTAATCATTCTGCACTAAACCATTCAGCAATTGCCAATTCAGCAATTGCCAAACAACCCCTTACTTAATTGATTATACACATGAAACATGATCCGTCTTTGTGAATTATATTCTGGTTTGGTTTGGTAGAACAAAAAAAATTCCATCACTTTTGAGGTTACGTCCATGGTGGCCAAAGACCTACCACCCATTTAAACAAGTACGATACATGCTTGTGGAATTATATTTTTCGTTTAATATAAATATTAAAAAAAATAAAAGACAAGAATTCAACTCATAAACAATATTCAAATATTACAACCATAACTTTTACTTTAAATGCAAGCAGCAAGAAACGTGACTTGAAATTGATTATCTATATATACATAGGGTTGGGTTCACGTGAGACCAACATGTTTTCATAAGACCATTTTTTTTTTTATATTTGAAACTTCACAACAAAACGTTGTAATGATAAAAAGAATCGAACTTTCACAACAAAAACACTGTAAATGTTACCTTTACAATGCTTTGATCCCAAGTCTCTCTCTATGTCTGTATATGTATGTATATATATATATATATAATAATAATTTTTTAGTTTATTCTAAATAAATGACCAAAACATAGTATTTTTTATGCATGGGTCATATAATATTAAGTCAAAAATACGTTTTTTAAAAAAATTTGCAAAATCTTAGTCAACAAATGAAGTGATCATGGACGAAAAAGGAAAAAAATACAGCTGTATTAGTTAAAAAGAAAATATAAAAAATTATTAAACGACTATTTAATATATATATATATATATATATATATATATATCTATACTATATTATAAAGCATTTGACTAAAACTCTTAAAAACTCTTAAACTCTTAAAACTCTTAAACCTGTTCATCCCTATCCGATTTTATCCCATATCTGAATTCGTGTAACTAGCTGCAAATAAACACAATCAAATACAGGATAAACATCTTATTTTAAAAAACCTAAACTATAATTAGGATAATCATTAAGTTCTAACAGAATACTTAATTATTATCTTTATAAAATATTATATTATTAAACCAAAAATAAATTATTTCATTATTAAACTTAAATTAAATTATAATAAAAAATAAATTAAAGAAATTACATAAAAAATGAAAACTTT